GTCTGATGAAGATTCGAATGAAGAAATGCAGATGAAATTACGCCTGATGAAGATTCGAATGAAGATAATGCAGAAGAAATTATGTCTGATGAAAATTCGAATGAAGAAAATGCAGATGAAATTATGTCTGATGAAAGTTCGAATGAAGAAAATGCAGATGAAATTATGTCTGATGAAAGTTCGAATGAAGGAAATGCAGATGAAATTATGTCTGATAAAAGTTCGAATGAAGGAAATGCAGATGAAATTATTTCTGATGAAAGTTCGAATGAAGGAAATGCAGCTAAAATTAAAAAGCAATTCTTAGATACAGATAAAATAGTCAAAACATTGCCAATCAATTTACCAAACCGTCCAGATATTATGTATACTAGCAAAATAATTTACACTAAGAAAATATTAATTGCAATTAATAATACATATATTAATGAATTGTGTTATATAAAGATTAATTTTGAAATTGTTTTTAGCTAGTGAACTTATTGATTATGTTGAAGTTCCTTATAGTAAGTAATATATTAATTTCAAACTTGTTACTTATTTTGAAATGATATTTAAATCATTAGATTTATAAATATAAATTAGCAATATATATAAAATTATTGTTTACTATATAAAATTTTGCATTAATACAAAAATTAAAAATAAAAATAAATAGCAATTTTATTTATTAATTTTTTTTTCAGGCAAAGTTTGCCTAAAACATTAAAAAGTATTTATATTTTTTAAATAAATTATGTTAAAACGGTTTGGGTAAAACTACAACCCAACTCTAACTCTAATCTTAATATTTATTGCAAGCTCAATTTTGCTACTGCTTTGAATTTGAACTCAATACAGAGTGCAAGCAGAAGAAGCTAATAGCTTGACAGTTTGAAAAAAAAAAGAGATTTAATATTAACAAAAGAAAAATATCTTTAAATCTTTAGTATATAATAGGCTAATAATTGTTGTGTCTTAAATAACTTTTTTTAAGCTTTTAAACTAAAATATTTTAATAACAACTACTAAACCAAATTTGATAAAAATTTTTTTTATTTAATTATGACTATTTAAAATTAAAGTAAAATGTTCATTAAAATTTGATTTACTGTATTTTTCGCGTAATAATGCTTATGAACGTTATTAGGATAATGGCCCGAATTAAGCTTAATTTGGGCCAAATTTTGAAATTACACCCCTGCACATTATTTCACGAAAATACGGTAATAATTTTCATATATATCCTCATTAAATACGCAATTTTTGGTTCTAAGAGTGTGCGACTAAATAGATATCACTATATTAGTAATCTACTAATAAAGAAACCCGTCAGTTATCGTTATAATTTCAGTCAAATTTTAGATCTAGTCAAATGATCAACATATTGACCTACAGTATATTATTAGTGGCTGTGCAGATCAGCCGATATAAATTATACGTACTGCTGTACTGTACGTACGTACAGTACTTTGATTAATATACTCACAGACTAATTAAAACGAATAAAAAATAACGATAACCTAAAATCAAAATAATATAATGTGAATAATAAGAGGTAAACAGTTTATTTTTAAGGTTAGAATTACATTTACTTATAATTAGTAACATATAAATTAAATATATTAACAGATGGTTATTGCACAATGCTTTTGAAAGTTTGACCGGTATTACTAAAGTTCCATACTACATTTGGAGCTGATTTTATAACCAAAATTACAAAAATTTGATTTTATAATCTACAAAGTTACGTACGTACGAAATTTCTAACTCATCTCAAATATAACGACATTTGTCTTTTTTTAAATTTTCAAACCTATATACTAATATGAAAATGCCTCTGGTTTAAACGACATCTGGATATATCGAACAATTTTTTTGTTTTTGGAAGTGCCGATATAATCAGAGTGACGTGTACTTGATTATGATATGTAATTTGCTACCAAATTCATATCCCAATCAAATTCGTATATTTTGATCTATTGTTGATATCTCATGATCTAGTAAACAGATCTTGGTAATTTTGGTAACATTTAAATCTTCCTGTTGAAACGATTCGAATTACAGGTAAGACCGTTGATGTTATTACGACTGATTTTTCACACGGTGTGCAACGTATAAAAAAACAAATTTAGTAAAAAATGGTGTTGGGTTATAATCATAACATGTACTACCCAAATGATCCGGTATTGTAAATTTGTTTTTTTATACGTTGCACACCGTGTGAAAAATCAGTCGTAATAACATCAACGTAGATTCGAATAGTATCAAGATCATCAAGATTTAATCACTAGATCACAAGATATCAACGATAGATCAAAATATATAAATTCGATTGAGATACGAATTTCGTGGGAAAATCGCATAAATAATAATTATTGAAATTTACAAAAATTTTTTGGGCCTTTTGTTAGGGGGGTTTTTTTAGGGTTAGGTTAGGGTTTAGTAGTAGTTTTAATAATAAAAGAGTATAAGTGGATTTTGGTAGGGTTTTTA